CAGCGCCCCCCAGCGGCGCCGGCTAGGGCACGGGCCCACCCCATCCCGCGGCGCGTGCGCGGCCTCACCCCATCCCGCGGCGCGTGCGCGGCGGGAGCGTCCCGGGTCGGCGCGCGGGGTGACGGCGGGGGAGCGTGGCAATGGTGCTGGAGACGCTGGCCCGCATCGTCAAGGTCCAGCTGCCCGCGTACCTCAAGCGCTTGCCGCTGCCCGAGAGCGTCGGCGGCTTTATCCGCCTGACAGGTAGGCGGGGGGAGCGGGACCCCCTTCCCGCCCCGGCGCCGCGGCCGGTCCTGCCTGGGATCCTGGGATCCGGCTCTCGCCCCTCACTCCAGGCACCGCTCGCTGTCTCCCGGCCGCGTCACAGAACTGGAAACCCCAGAGCTTGAACTGCTGCAGCAGGAGGATGACCCGACAGGAGGTGCAGGTGTCCTGTGGGGCAGGGGGAGCTGTCAGGGTGAAGTGCAGGGACAGAGTAAAACCTTTGCGTCTGAAATTCCTCTGGGAACCAATGCCGGTCAGCCAGAGGCCGTGCGCCGAGATGGATTGGGATTTAGCCGGAGGCCTAAAGCACGGCCTCTTCCTCTTCTTCACAGGTCAAAGACAGCATCTGTACCGAGTTAAACCAAAAAAGTGTCTTTCTGGGAACCTGCCACGTACATAAAGTTAGGGTTGTTTTTTAATTGAGTCAGTTTTGTAAGTATTTTCTGCGTGAGGGAGTAGAAACAGCAGTTCATTGATTGTAGCCCTGTCAGAGAGTGAACAAGAAGTGAGCAGTGGCTCACTGTGGTGCTCAGTGCTTTGCACTGGGGCTCGGCGGTGAGAACATAGGCGGGCCCCCAGGCAGTGTCAAGTGACCGGGTTAGTTCGGTGACAAGAAGGAAGGAATACTCTCCTCAGAAAGTAGAAGTCGAAAAAGCTATCAAAGTGCAGAATCAACTTTATATCTTGCAGCGCTAACACCGCGACTGTTAATAGTGTCGGAAAATTGTTAAATTTAGAATAGACACAGATTTAAAGCCGGTTTTGAGCACTTCTTTTTTTCCCAGCATGTTTATGCTACTTGTGAACTGCAAGTCTCATTGTCTTCCGCAGGAACAAGCAAATCTCTTTTAAATTAACTGTTCTTCTTCCACAGCTACGCTCTCATATGGAAAAACTGTTATCTATATTTACCAAATAGAGAAATTCAGCTGCTACAAAGTTGGGAGGTAGGGGATAAAAAAACCTACAGAACAATGCAGCTTCTCCTATTTCTAGTATTTGGCAGTTTCCTAATGAAACCATTGCCCTTGTAACCACAAGTTGACTTAAAATTTGTTAATCTTAGTAATATTTTAGTATCTTATTGCTTCACTTGTCGAACCATGTCTTTTCTGTAATAAGGTTATTTGTCCAGTCTCTGTATTCACAATGCATAGTAGTAATACGATTTATTCTGAAAACCTGTGGAAGGTTTGGTCTGTAAACCAAAATCAGGACTTTGGGCTTTTTATATAGTGGTCAGTGGGGGAGAACTGTTTTGTTGTCACATTGTTTACCCCATTGACTTCCAAGTACTTCATTGAATTTGGAGGGAGGACAAGAAGCAAACAATTGACTTCTTAAGTGTAGACCAAACATGTGAAATGTCAGTCCCAAAATACTAAACGTAAGTAAAAGAAGGAGCTGAGTCAGAAACTGCTTTGAGAACTTGTAGGATTTAATGAGAATACCCGAAAAATCCACTGCCTGTAGTTCTTAGCAATTTTTTTGATGGACTCTAAAAACTGGAGACAAAGGTATATTTAAAAATACATGACTATAGAGAGAACGTTTTTTGCAGTTTAAATACTTTTTTCCAATAGTAAGCTAGAGTAGTATCTGCTGCTATGATTATACATCTTCCTTCCAGGGTGGATATGAATGAAAATGGAGGGAAAAAAGCAAAACTTTACAAGGTACTTCAAGTTATAGCGTAGGATTAAATACAACACATTGAAACGTCTGAGAAGTATACTGTAGGACACTGCATCCTAAGCACCTAAATTAAAAAATTATCATGTCTTAGTGTGTAAAGGTTATTGAAAGTCATTGAAACGTCATTGCTCATTGAAGAGTCCTGTGCTTACTTGCACAAAGAGCTGCTGTGAGTTTTAAGTTTCATTTGAGAAAATGATTGCTTCAGCAAGTGCTGCCTCTTCTGTGTTGTTGTGGTCTTTGTCCTGACCTAAAGTTACAATCTTCTAAGAGCAGGGGATTGCCAGTCCTGGGGTTATTTTGCAGTGAATTATCATTTGGGAAAGACTATTAGGCAATAGAAAAATTAATGTTCCCTTTTGTGTCTACTACTATTAAAAATTACCAAGTATATTCTTTGGCAAATGGTATACTTAGCTTCTTTTTGAAAAGTGAGAAGTAACATTGGTCTAAAAACATTTAAAGTGTATTAATATTTGCCCTTTGGTGGCATCTGTTGAACTTTATCAGAGACCAGCACTATGAAACACTGGGCAACATAGACCTTGTTTGCAAATGCAGGCTGGAATCCAGATTTGTAACAGTGCAGTCTTTTCTTAACTCTTTTATTGCTTCTGTAAACTCATTAGCTTGCAGGCAGATGCAACTTCAGTTCCTGTAGTGCATCAGTTGTAGAAACAACAGACCAAAAGTATATGGAGTGCCTGTTTTTTTTATAGGATGTTGTATAGTGTGCTGGTTAAAGATCTGGACACCTGTTGTCTGTTGTGACCTTATGAAACCAAATGAAAAACTGCTTGTTTGAAGTGAAAGACTTAACATCCAGTACATACCTCCTGAAGGTAAAAGCAGTGAGGGAGGAAGGAAAGAATGTTTGACCTTGGGTTTGAAAGTGGATATCTAAATTATCACGCTGTGCTGCTCTGAAGCCTCTTTCAGTGTCTTGTCATTGCTTCTTTAGCCTTCCCAAGTTCGATGAAATGAACAATGTTGTCTCATGCCAGTGTTGCTTTTTGTCCTGGAAGATGCCATTAAAACGGCATAGACATTCACCTCAAAATAGCCAACAACCAAAACCAGGATAGGCCTGCTTATTGGTTCTGAAGAGAATGTATTTAGTAAGTACTTCGAATTTGCATGAAGAACCTCATCAGTGTAGAGAATATGCAAGCACAGTTCCAATATTCCTTTTGACTGGTAGTTAATACTTGCAGTTGAGCTGTTACTGTAAGAAGCTGCCTTTGGGCATGCACAGGGCAATTTCCACAAAAAGTAGCTGAAACGTAAGTCAAAGATACCAAAGGAGTAGTTGATGGAAGACAAAGGAGGGAATACATGCTTTGATTTTTCTATCAGTGGCTTCTCTGTACCTTTGTTCACAGTGTATGTGTTTCTTTTATTTTTGGATATGTTACTGTTGGACTAAAAATTAAGAAAACCTCTCCTTGAAAATATCCGTGGCTTAAGCTTTTTGGAATTGTCTGGTTTCTGATACTTTCCAGGACTTTGGGATTGGTCTCTATCTAACACAAGTCTGAAGACTGACCTGTTCCATACACTACTCTTCATTTCTGTCTCCAAAGTCTGCCTCTCCCCATGCAGCAGAATCGATAAAAGAATCTCTAGAATCAGTGTAATGGCTGAATTCTGAGTTGTCAGCTGTGCAAAAAGTCTTGTGAATTGCCCTACATCTGCTTCATAAAGGTATGAATGGCTTCAAAACCAGAGCAGTCTACACTTGTAGGAAGACAGCATTGCATTCGTTTGGATGAAGGGTTTTTCCCATCCCTGCTCACCCAGCCTAAAGATCTCTTACAGTGTCTTGTATTTCATGCTTTAGAACATGATCATAGTGATTTTTCAGTTTAAACATAGGCGCGTCAGGCAGTTTTTTGGCAATAACAAGCCAGTTTATGATTAGTGTATACAGGAATGCAATCAGGGGCTTTCCAGAGACTCCCAGATTAGAAGTAAGCATAGAATTTACTCGCTAGTGAGGAGAAAACTATTTATCAGCAGTTATCTTGGTACAAATACTAAATAATAACCATATTAAATAATAGCCTGGTACATCCTATTCATGTTTATTTCTGATTTCCTTTCTCAGAGGTTACAGCTGTCAAAATTCCTCTCTCACTTGAATGAACCCAACTGGCTGTGAGTCATCCATAGACATGATCACTGTTCTGATTTTCATACTGTATCAAGAGTGTGAGATGTGTCCTTTTTGTGTGTCAATCTTAGCCCAGTTACACTTGGTAGATGTCCTGGTCCTGGTGTGCCTCTTGGAATGTCTGTTCTCTCTTGGAGTTAAGAGGAGTAGCTTTGTAGAGATCCACATTTTTGCCAACAGTCAGGTTAAATACAAAGTTTGGAATTTTTTTTTAGTGACCAAATATTTTTCCACTCTTTTGAAGTACATTCTTCAGGTAAGGTCAGAAAGTGCATTTTGATTCCTGATGGAATTGATTGAGTGTTCTGGAAAAGTAATGGTAGAAAAGGCAAACGGGCACTGCTGTCCAGGAAACTCAGGATTCTGTATAGCTGAAAACATTTAAGTATCTCAGTGTCAATTATTATTTAGGGCTTGCAGCTTGTTGGAGGAACTAAGAGAAGAGCACCAGAGATTAATGTATTGCAGTGAGTCTTGGTGTGAATTGTGGTGTGTAGGGATTGCTGCAGGTGCAGTTGAGAAATGATTACTGAGACTTCTTGCAGTGCCTTTAGCTTTTATGCAGCTGTGATACATTTCCAGATGAATACATTTAATGTCGCTGTCACATCAAGGGCAACAAAGAACAAAAAATTAATTCCACAAGTTATTTTCATTACATGGTCTGGTTCCAGAAAATGCAGATCCTTAAGAAAAACCCACTGGATTCTAACTGGAGAAGTATTAGCATAAACATATGTTTTACTAGTGCAAATAAATCAAGCTATACAGAATAATTTCTTTCCTCAGGGCTACAACCCACTGGGCAGCCTTAGCCTGCTCTGTTGTGTTTTCTTTCTAGTACATCTTAATTTCAAAAAACAAATTGTAGAACAAAATCTCTCTATATTCTGATCCTAAATAATTTAGAAGAGTAAGTTGATTATTGTCTTGTCTTAAAAAGTGCTTGTGCAGATATTTGTGCTTCAGCACGTTACACGTTTATCTCTTCTAAAATATTTTTAAACTCCCTTCTATATAAGTATTTAGATTTAATATATTCTCCAGAAATTTAGAAAAATGCTCTCAACCTTTAGTGCACCATGGTATTTAAATTGCACTGGAGTATTCCACAGTACAAAACATTCCACAGCACGTTTTGCTGGAAAAGTGAATCCACCTTGTATATTATCTGTCTCTCCGTCTCTCTCTCCGTCTCTCTCTCTATCTATCTATCTATCTATCTATCTAAAAAAACAATCATTGATGCATTTCTTTAAAAGTCCAGTAAGTCTTCTCTCACCAGTATGCCTACATTTTTAATGATGGAGCAGAGCAGCCAGATCTGCAGTGGATACTTCTACTTTTTACCTGTACTTGAAAGAAGTTCCTTAACTTGGGTATAAAGTAATTTTCTGTGATTTGACCTACTGATCTTAGGTGTCTTTCTTTCTCTATGTTGTAGAAACTGGTTGCAGATCCCTGAGCAAACAGAGGTCTGAAAAATAAAACCAAAAAGATTGGTGAAGGTTTTGCCAGTGCTTTAGGGTTGCCTATTTCAGTAAATCTTTTATTTGTTTTGTATTTATTATCTTCCATTCAGTCATCTAGAGTGATAAAATCCAATTTCAGATGAAATTCTAGGAGTCAGATTTTTACTTAGGCTGGAGTAAATCCTAGGATTTAATCTATGTCTTTTTTTTCCTTGAGACTCACCAATGGAATCTTGTTCTTTGCCCCGAGGGCCCTGCTGACTGAGCAGCTCTGTTCCATACCCTCAGCCTAAGCCGTTTGATGCTGCACCATCCTGGAGTGGTGTCAGGAGCCACCCTAAACCCCGCCTTATCTTTAGTTTCAGAATGGCTGCGGTTACTGCCTTTCCTGGGCGTGCTGGCCTTGCTTGGTTACCTTGCTGTTCGTCCCTTCCTCCCCAAGAAGAAACAGCAGAAGGATAGCTTGATTAACCTCAAGATCCAGAAGGAAAATCCCAAAGTTGTGAATGAGATAAACATTGAAGATCTGTGCCTCACTAAAGCTTACTGCAGGTGTTGGCGTTCAAAGACGGTAAGACGTGCTGCTGTAGGATTAGAGATTGAAACTAAGTATTTTTATCAGTGCTTTGGTGCTGGATTGCTGTGTTGAGCTGTTGCCTTTGTCTGGAGTTGGAACATGTTCCTGAACTTTGCAGAATGGCACAAACCTATCTACACAAAGAAAGCAACTGTAGAAACTTAAAAGAAATTTTCTAGAAATGTTTAGAGTGACCTCATGTGAGTAAAATAAAACCAAGCAAACCTGTTTTCCTATTTGGAAATACACTGCAGCTAATTAAAAGATAATTACTCTTACTTTCCAAAAAACAAAAAGATTGTTCATATCAGAATGAAAATATTGTGTTGGTGAGGGAGATTCCCATATCGTCCAGAGCAGTGAGAGGAGTGGTTGGGATATTCCATATCCCCCAAATCAACTAGATGTAAATGAGTGTATTTCATCTAGCCTCAGTTTTCATTTCCTGATTCAATTTTGAATGTCCTGACCACACTCTGGTTTTGTTCTCTCTGGCCCAAATGCTTTCCTTCTTTAATAAAACCAAAAAAGTCTGTCTTGAACTGAAGAAGCTCACTCAGCTATTTTCACTTTGGGCTAATCACTTAAGGCAAGCACTTCAGCTTGCTTCTGTGTATGCTTTCTGGTTGCAAATGACTAAATCTATTAAGAGCACTCTTACTAGTTCTGCAATAAATCAATTTGTAACCGTGATAGCTGCTTTGTTTGCTGTTCTTTCATGGAAAAGGCTTTGTCCCTGACTTTGAAGAAGAACAGCTATTTTAGGATCTCACAAACTTAGTTACCCATTAACTGTGTTTGTTTTCCTTAGTAGCCTGTGCCGATAGGAGACAGGGAGTTTGACGTTGAACCAGGACAAGAGGAGCAAGCAACATTATCAAAGCAGTCAGGGCGTAGGAAGAAATACAGAAATCACCATGTAACTGCTGTACAGAATTGTGCTAATTCCTTGTGTATGGCTTTTTTTCAGTTCCCTGTCTGTGATGGCTCCCACAACAAGCACAATGAATTAACAGGAGATAATGTAGGTCCACTAATACTCAAGAAGAAAGAAGTATAGCAGATACTTAATCTAGATCGTGACTGATAACAAGTCTTTTATACTGTTGTAGTTGCAAAGGACAGCATTTTATTATGTGATTGGTATGATTTAGTTTCATGATTGCTGTAGATTTCTTTTTGGAATAAACTGCATTTAGACAGTGATGAATTTGTCACTGTTTTGGTACCTTATTCTGAGAAGAATTTTGCCTGCTTTGTAAAACTGTAAAGTACCTATCTCTGTAAATAAGTCGTTTATTTCAATAATAAATTGACTTTCTACAACTAAGCCTTTTTTTTTTTGAACATACAATTATAAAACTCACTATTTCAAGTGATGTAAGTGCACTTCTCTGTTGAATTTGTTCTGCTGAGAAATCATGTTTTCCTTTGCTTTTCAGGTACAAATTAAAGTGTACTTAAGTGGGGGAGAAAAAGATACCCACTTCCTCCTTTGTGAATATACGTTCAGGCAGCAGATCAGTGTTAAATCATGCAAGCTGAAGGTCTGGCCTGCATGGTGCTTAAGTGGGCAGTTTGTTGGTCTTAGACAAAGCAGTGAAGCTCAGACAAACCCCACTCTGCAGGAAGGTTTCACACAGCATCCCAGGTGGAGTGCTGGCAGTTCCAGCCCATATATAAACAAAACTATTGAGCAGGTCAGCCACCAACGTTACCCCTTTATTTTGGGCCCTGTGTTGATGGTAAGGAAACACAAATTTGCCTCCTGCAAGTTCACTTGCCCTGCAGTCTCTACTTCTTGCAATGGGAATTTTCAAGGGATGAACGGGTTAAGAGACAGAACTGAAGATGCTGAGCTGAGCTGTTCTCTTGGCTTGTTACCCATTCAGAATTATTATTTATGCAAGTCATAATGTTGCTGTGGTGAGGCTTAATTTCAGATGCAGATAATTACTACCTACCTAACTGCTAGGTTTCTAATTAATTATTCTTAAGTGCTTCATTCTCCCACAAAATAGTGTATCCATCAGTTTAAAAATAAAAATTTGGTCCATGCTACAATTTTAGACAATGGTACCATGACAGATCTCACCCATTCCTTAATAGCATTTCATTTGTTAGGCAGGAAGCCCCAGAGCTGTTGCCAAAGCTGATCATCACAGTGCTGAAACAGCGAGTCAGAAAGCTGTTCTCAAAAAAGGGCTCTTGCAGCAGCAGCAGAATTGAGGTAGATCATTCCTCCTCCATTTGTGACAGTTGTAGTTCTGAGTTCAAAAACTTCTTGCCTTGCAGCAAAAGATGACAGATTAGGATGTGACTGTGTGTTAAATGACTGTTTTTACAGTGTGTAACAGAACCATGGTATAATGTTTATTGTTTAAATGCTTTATGGTGGTCTTACCTTAATGAATGAGCAAACCATAAATGCATTAGGATATAAATATTTATAATAGAGGAAAATATATGAAGTGTCTTATACTCAGTTTTCACTTACAGATGTAAATAGAATACTAAGCCCCAATTCTTGGATTTGGTGAAGAAATTACTGTGAAATGTAAAGCCCTGTCTTTGACATTTTTTTTCAGGCTTTAAAAACCACAGTCTACTGTAGCAGATTTATTAGACACAGGCACATATACGCTTCCAGCTTTTATCAGGATACTTTTGTATTCAAACAGTTTGATTTCCTCTGAAATCACAACCAAAATTAAGTTAAATTAAGACAAACATTGTTAAAGTAAGTAATACAGCAACATGGTTTTGTTTCTCCCAAAAAGCTCCTTGAAGAGAAGAACAGTGTAAGGTTTAACCTCTTCACTCCATCTTTAACACAGCGTGATTAATTATTTTTTTTCTCCTTACTTGCTCATGGATGAGATAGTTTACAATCTCAACCATGGCTATAGGATAAAGAGGAACAGTTTCTTTGTGCTTATATCTGTAAGGGAATGGAACAAATTTGTAGTGTTGCAAGAACAAGTCACAGTTCTTTAATAGAAAGGACATTTTAGTAATTTCCACAAGATAATAATTTAATGAGAATCACAAGCAAGATAAATCATCATTTCCTTGCCTTTCAAAATCTGCCAAGGTAATACTATTACATATCCACAGAAGTTTATATAGAAAATCTCCAATAATTTACTGATCTGTTCTATCTAAAGTCTACAGAGAGAGATAGCTAAAAGCTGAATTGCCTGTACAGCTCTGTATCTCACCAGCAATTTAGAAGTTGAACCAATTACCTGACTTTTCTAATGTAATTGGGAAGCTCCATACACAGGAATAAATTTGCCCTAAATGCTAATCAAGACCAGAACTGAGGTTGTAGGGCCAGATCTTCAGTCTTGATGGAAAATTTGGGGAACCTGAAATCAGCATATTGTGACACTTAATCTACAAGAACAGCAATGTTTTTCTTTTCATAATTAATTTGGACATGGTTATAATAGACTACAAATAAACTTGTAAGACAGATTTAGAGAAAGGTGTCTGACTTGGGGCAACTACTAGACAAAATAAATGTAATTGAAGTGCAATTGACCAAAAATTTCATCTTGTGTACTCTTTATTTAAAAGGCAAGATGCAGAAACTATCATCCATTTTGTGGCTGTATTACACCGTGGCTTTTTCAGAGTTAATCTTAGATTTGAGTTTAAATTCCATAAAAAGCTCCGTTTGGCTGAAAAAGAGAGAGTAAGCTGTGATTATACTCACATCATCATCACCACATCCCCTGGCCTGTGTGACTCCCTGCTTGCAGATAATTTCTGTCTTTTCCCATATGCTGCCTGCTGTAACTTGCACATGCTGGCTGCTGGGAACACTTGCAGAGGTTCTTGTGAACCTTCTGGAACAGCATGCTCAGAGTTCTTCCACACTATGCCTGTGATTATGTCTGCATGACAGCAGGACTCTCTGGTTATCAGTTACTGCACATCATGCTGTAATTTTATTTCCTGCAAATAAGAGATTACCGTGGCATAATGATTTTATCGGCTTGAATTTATGCTTTATTCAGTTAATGATTTTCATGGCATTTTGTTAAAAGGGAGGTGGTCTTTAATGTCATGCTTCTCCCGTACTCTGATAAAAACTGAATCTCTCAAAGTTAGTTGCTGTTTAAAAACAGCTGAAAATGTCATACTTACTAGAAAAGTCTCTTAAGTTCTTAGTCCTGATATATCATTTAATGAAAAGATGCAAGTGTGTGTTTTCTTCCCTTCTAGAAGACAAGGAAGGGGGAACATTATAAAGCATTAAAGCTTTTAATTTTAGATCTGCAGGTCTATGTAATAGCTCCAACCTGATACTTTTTGAAGATTTAATAAAAGCTGGGGGAAAGGGGTCTCATGAGAAATACCCACATAAAATGGCAGGGAAAGAAAAATTGATTCAATCTCACTTAGATTAGCAAAAAAGATGACAAATTTTCACTGGTATAGCTTATTCAGGCACTCAGAATTGTGGAAGTGACCTCATGTATAATTGAGGGTGCACTGAGGTTAAGGGAACAGGTAAATCCCATTTATCAGAGCTGTTTTGCTGGTGAGGAAGTACTAGAGACTATCACAAACAAAAGCTCTTCATCAGAGGTTTGCTTTCCTACTTAAGGTTGTGTCCAAATTTAAAGGGCTGTAATCCTTGAAACACCACGCTTCTGTTACTGAACACGTTCCAAATTTGGCATAGTAATCCCTGTGGGAGGATTCCACTTTTTATAAAACTTTCCAAAAAGTGAACTCCTGTAAGTTTTATTCAAATAGAACTATTTTATAGACACTGATGAACTGAACACTGTATTTCCTCATCTTGTCAGTTAGCTTTACCAACATTACAATTTCCAAATACTTAACCTCCTATTAAAACTACACGTATTTCACTAAATCATAGAATCAGTGACGTTGGAAAAGACCTCTGAGATAATTGAATCCAACCTATGACCAGCATGACAACCAGACCATAGCTCTCAGTACCATGGCCAGTCTTTGCTTAACCACCACCAGGGAAGATGATTCCACCACCCTCCTGGGCAGTCCATTCCACTGTTTAATGAATCTTTCTGTGAAGAAATTCCCCCTAATGTGCAACTACATCCCCTGGTAGTCCTCTCATCCTGTTGAGAGGTGGTGTGGGAGAAGAGGCTGACCCGCACCTGGCCACCCCCTCCTGTCAGGCAGCTGCAGAGCAGTGCGGTGCCCCCTGAGCTGCCCCTTCTCCAGGCTAAAACCCCCAGTTCCCTCAGCTGCTCCTCACAGGACTTGTGCTCCAGACCCTTCCATTGCCCTTCTCTGGACATACTCCAGCCCCTCGGTGTCCTTCTTGCAGTGACGGGCCCAGAATGGACACAGCTCTCAAGGTGTGCCCTCACCTGTGCCCAGCACAGGGGGCAATCACTGCCCTGGTCCTGCTGGCCACACCATTGCTGATCCAGGTCAGGATGCCATTGGCCTTCTTGGCCCCCTGGGCACAGCTGGCTCATGTTCAGCCACTGCTGACCAGCACCCCCAGGTTCTTTTCCATGGACAGCTTCCCAGTCACTCTGCCCCAGCCTGTGGCACAGCCTGGGGTTGCTGTGACCCAAGGGCAGGACTCAGCACTTGGCCTTGTTGAACCTCATTTCATTCGTCTCAGCCCATTGATCCAGCCTGTCCAGATCCCCTGCAGAGACTTCCTGCCCTCTAGCAGATCAACATTGTCACTCAACTTTGTGTTGTCCATGAATTTATTGGGGTGCACTCAATCCCCTTATCCAGATCATCAGTAAAGATACTGAACAGGACTGGGCCAGGGGGACACCAGGAGTGCATGTGAAGCAGGCACAGCAGGCACAGAAGTCCAGGTATGTCACAATAACAACCCTTAACCACTGCTCCAGCTTCAAACCCATCAGGTGCCGTTTGAAAGCATCTTCCTTTCAGGTCAGGAGACAAACTTGAACTGAACTAAAGATGGTACATTCCCAAGGAAGCAGAGAGAACAGCAGTGTGCGTAGTTAGAAAAATATAACGTACTTGACAACTGTTAAGGGAAAACTTACCAAAGAATTTCCTGGTACTTTTATCATTGTGCTGGAACTGCAGGCATTGAAATTTAAGTATTTCTCAGGAAGCTTTCTTTTTGTTTAGAGAGTAAGGCTTATACATAGGCACGCATATTGAGCTGTATACAGCTCAGCTGTACAACATATGAATCTCTGCAAATAGTACAGTGTCAACATTAGAAGTGTTTAAGTAGTTAAGAGTATTTTTGTACCTTTTTTGTTTTGCATGTTAAAAAATCAAAAGCTAAAATAGAAATTATTAATTCTTACTAATGCCAAAATCTAGACACCATCAAATGTATTCTACACAGTATCCCTGTAAAACAGGGATACTATAGTGTAGAAATCTGCAGGACAATGTTTTCTGCCTCAGTTACAGGCACAATCTAATAGCGTTTCCAAAAAATAACAAAGTAACTTCCAGTTTCTGAGGGATGCTGTACTGACCCCATGCCTCAGAATGGAGTTATTAACAACTTACTTGGAGCTAGTCACTTGTACAAAACATAGCAGAGGCAGACAGATTTACTGGTACCTGCCAACTGGTACCAAACCTAAAAGGCAAGAGCAGGATTTTGATCAACAGAGGTTACTCCTGGCTATAGGACAGGACATCATGTTGTGTGAAGGATGAGGTACACAGGTGAAACAGCAGCCTTCCCAATCCCATACAAGCTTCCCCCAGTCCTTGTAGACCTCCCACAACCCTCACCTCATTTTCAGGTTCTCTCCCTTTTTCTGCTGGCACCAACATCTCTATTACCACAATCTATGATGGCCCCAACTGTCTCTTTGAGCATGTAAGTGCCACTTGCTGTTCCTTGCTGACAGTCCTTCAAGGCACAAAGGAGTGCCTCAGCCATGAGGAAAAACAGCAATAGGAAAAGGTAAGTTTTGGAACACAAATGAGCAAGGAGAGGGAATCACCTACCCATGGCAGGACTTGTTCACTATGTGTCAGCAATCTCTTACTTGGAAGTTGCTTTCTTTGAAGTTGTGGAACTTGTCAACTCACAGTCCAGTTTCAACCATCAAGAAACAATTCACATTCGTCTCCATTTTTTTCTATTTATATTATACCTCATGACTCCACTCCGTGCCTCAACAATTCTGACCCCCTCCCTGGCCTCACCACCCACACATTTCAAGTAATTCTTGACTGCTAACTTCTCAGTGACTCACTGCCAGGTCATCTTATTCACTGTATGTTCAGCTATTTCATCTCAAGGCACCATCATCAGATAAAAATATTTTCTAGAACTCCACCAGGGCTGCTTTAAAAATAGCAGGGGTAACTGATAGTTTTAGGCTCCTCCAGCAAGATTAGAGACATGCCATCTTTACTCAACTAAACTGTCAGGGTTGAAGGAGCAGGGTTGCTGTAGTTGTCTGTCTTAGGTTCACAGGCCTTTGCCTCTTCTCCAACCTCTGCACCTTCGTCATCCTCTTTGCTATTTGTCTGAGCCTTCTGCAAAAGTCTGGGCCCTGCCAAGCCGATAACCAGGGCTCCAATTGGAGCAGTGATCAAAATAGCCAAGAAAGCTACTGTCAGTACATCCATTCCATACTTTTCCAGTTGCTCATCTTGATGTCGTCTTGCTGTATCCAGGGCAAGAGAACCTATTGCAGCCTGCAGGGAAGAAAACATTGCTGAGATGGAGCAAGTAATCTTAGCACTGAATGAGGAAAAAAGGGAACCTATCATTAGTCAACATTTCACATAAATTTGACATTTTTACATTCAGCCCATTTGTTTCTAGGCTGTACATAGAAAAGTAAACATTATATTACACTATGAGAACAATTTTCACTTGTCTATGCCTGGAATTTCCTTAGCTAATGAGTTTATCTGTGTGGTTTCCTCCTGTGAAGAACATTGCTTAGCTGCCATTTTATCCACATTTCTGGAGAATGTATGATTAATGAAATAGGTTAGTATATTGTGTATTGCAGGCTGTTAAAATGCCACACTTGGAGAATGTATCCTGACAATAGTCAACTAGTGGCAGCTTCTGAAAATTTAATTCACTGATCATGTAAGAAACCTTACCTGTTTTGATTATTAACTTTTGTTTCAAGTAATCATTCTATTGAGGCGAAGTCTAAATGACTTGACAATCACTAAAATAAAGGAGCAGGAATGTAGCCAGCCTGAGCCATCTCTATTAATACAGCTCTCAGACTACTCCTTATGAAAATAATCCCAAACTAAGACCCATTCTGAGTACTGATGTGACCAGTTCTGTGTACCCATTCTGACACTTCATGTGTAAGAGGGAAATGCTTTTACCTTTGAGAGTTCTCAGGATCTGTATGTGAAGGCACAATAATCAGCAATGGCTGAGAAATTATTAAATTTCCTGTGATATATGAACAAGTCACTCTCATTATTAAGAGTAAACCCATGATACAAGCAAAACACCTGCACACAGAAGGTTCTCCACACACTTTTCAAGCAGTTAGAGTGTTTTAGAGTATGAACAGTCAAAATACTACACTCAGCTGTCATTGAGCCTAAACCTTTCCCTGCCTACTGCTATGCTAGTCACAGGGAACTCTGCTAAGCAAAGTAGATTTAGCCTGGAATTAAAGTGATGTTGGATTGTTTACCTGGACAGTGGCTTTGGGAATCCATGCCAGTGAGACAAATACCTTCTCCATGAAATTAAACCCAGCAAAAGACACCATCAGGAACGTTGCTACAATTCGCACAACTAGGGCAATGCCTAATATAGCAACACAGAGCCCTGCAACAGACAAACACTTCTCAGTACTTTTGTGCATAGGTTCTTCTGGTTTTTTAATTTCTTTGGGGTCAGCCATAGTCTCCTTTGTTTTAGATTTCTTTATAGATATTCTTTCAAAGCCAGTAATGAAAGCTGGATAATTTGTGAATGACCTTACCAACAGTTTCAGGCCTAAGAGATGTAACGGATACTTCTGCTCCAATTAAACCAAAAAGAAAAGGTTCAAAGATATTCCATGCAACTGCCACAATTTTTTCTATTTCCCTCTGCAATAAAAACAAAACTAATCTGTAAATTCACAAAAAGATGGCCAAGCAGACACAACAGTTAAGTAATCATAGGACGAAGTGAAAATGATTCATAAAGACTGTCCAAAATTGCTCCTTTTTCTTTGACCTAAAACATTCAAAATCAGGTGCAGACCTTTCAAAGGTCAGACTGCGTCTAGCTGTCCTAGTAAATAAATGTTTCATGTCTTGAGAGGAGAAATAAAAACTATTGTGTTTGAACAGCAACAGAGCAGTTTGCAGACAAGAGGAGGAAAATAAAGCATTGCTGATTTTCAGTATTTAGAAAGATGTAATTTCAACTTCAATTTCAGCTTTGCCATAAAGTTTCTGAGTCTTTGGGAATTGCATGCCTAAACATGCTCTTCCATTTATAGCTGAGCAGAGTCAGACTCTCCCAAGTTTCAGTCATGACCTAACTCTGTTCGTGCTGCACTCAGTCAGAAGCCTCTCTCCATGTCAGCAGGGGCAAAGTCAGTCTGAGCAAGTCTGAAATCACATACCAGGAACAAGTGCTGAACTTTCCACTGGAATATAGTGTATAAAGGCAAAACCATATTTTCTCCTTATGTTTGAACTTTACGCAATTTTCCAAAAATAACTGCTGCCAGGGTAAACAGGAATCTTCCACTTACATGAAAAGGTACACATAGCATATAAAATAGCACTTGTCTTTTAATTAAGTGGGTTCTACAATAGCAAATGAGCCTTCAGGCTGGAGTGTGTGGAAAATATAAGTGCAGTGCTCTGTCACTTAATCAATCCAGGGCCTAGACATGTCCCATCCTTGGTATTCTCTTTGGGACTGATCCTGCAACAACTCTTGCTCTTCTGTCAATGGAATGGTAGGTTACAGTCATATAAAAATTTATGTAACCGTAAGGAAAATAAAGAAAATGAGGTGGAAATATATATATATATATATATATATATATATATATATATAAAAGCCCCCAGAAATCCCCTCTTTACAGATTTCAGCCTATTTACTGCCCATTTGACCATCCCAGGAATAGGTTCATGTTCATTGTTCTCTGTAGACAGTGTTTGTCAAGTGCCTTCCACCATGGACAGTGGGAGGCAGTGGCCTTGGAGAAGCTCACCAGGAAAACCTTGGTAATATATTGAGTACATAGACACCTCTATCTCTATCTGAGAAGAAAAGAGCTAAGGCATTTGATATCAATGTACTTAAGGCCATGAAGCTTCATTCACAGATCAAAAGAATTTAAACTAAGCCTTTATAGAATGCATATACTCTTTTAAGGTCCTTCCTCCTGAAATGGTTTAAAAGCTTTTCAGTAGAGAGCTTGATCAGTTGTAATGTACTTAACTAGTTAAGTCCCAAGAAGAGGTTTTCATCCTTTAAAATTGGACAACCTTAGTTTCTTTTCATTGCTATAACAAACCTTGAGATCTTACTGAAGTCAGGGTCAAGATGGGTATAATAACATGGACTCTACTATATCTAATCCCCTTTCCTTTTCCTTCCTTCTCCTACTGAATATCACAAAGCTATAGCTGGGGAGAGAAATGTCCTCAAAGCGTTAAATGTAGATGGTATCAAGCAAAAGAGGCAGTCAGACATAGCAAGGTACAGAAAGGCAGTGGGGCAGCACCAGTAAGATGAAGTAGGCTAGTACCTAAGAGAAAGTGACTAAAAAGCATTCTTTTGTATGATTTTTTATGGCCTTACATCATCATTTACTGTGTGCACTCTGCTCTCTAAGTTA